CAAACACTACATTTTAAAAATCTTTCATATCAATGTACTATATATACCTAGTTGAGGTTGCAATAGTAAATAGATGACAAAAAAAATAAAATATTTAACAATTCCACTGGCTCCTTTTGGGGTAAGACACCATACTTTCATTACCAGAAATGGGTCCTTAGTCATTCTGATTAAATACAAATCCTATTCCATAAAGCCTCAATCAAAAAAAGTCCTTTTTCCCTAATGGTTTGGCTCAGTGAATAGATAGTCAGCCTGCAGACACAAGGGTCCCAGGTTCGATTCCGGTCAAGGGCATATACCTTGGTTGCGGGCACATCCCCAGTGGGGAGTGTGCAGGAGGTAGCTGATCGATGTTTCTCTCTCATCGATGTTTCTGGCTCTCTGTCCCTCTCCCTTCCTCTCTGTAAAAAATCAATAAAATATATATTTTTTTTAAAGTTCTTTTTTCCTTTTCTTTATTTTATTACAACCTGAAGTTTCATCATTTAATACATAAATTTACTTCTCACCCGAGTATAATCACTCTTGATTAAAAGTAATGGGGACCTAGGACATCAGTGTTTTACAACTATACACAAAGCATGTACTTTCACTTTAAAAAGAAAGCCATGTTCAGCACAATTCCAGTTTTAAACAAAACTGCAGTTACACTCAAGTTGTGATACTACAACTCCTGGAAAGCTGTCACTTGGTGGAATGGTGCCTAAGAAAACATCATGATTAAAAATGCTATGAAAATTGTACCAAATTCCCACCTAATTTAAAGGAGTAATTTAAAGTCAGGCTTGTTCCTGAACATGGAAAGCAGTTTAATCTGAGCCTTTCTGTATGCCTGATGCTTTTGTTTCTTTGGCTGGGGAACTGTACTTTATTTCATGGATCCCAGTCAGGCACATAAAAATTATGAAATTTATAGAATCATTTGGGAAAACTACAAAAACTACAAAAAGCAGTTATTCATATCAGAAAAATAAAGACTTTCTAAAAAGCTAAGTAAATAATAGTAAAATAAAAAGAACTGGGTGTGGTCAGATTTGCTCTTGAAAATCCCATCAATCATACGCAGAATACTGTAAGCAGGGTTTGTGTATACACGCCCAGGGGATAAGGCAGGCGAGGGTGGGGCTGAAAGGATTCCCCTCATTGTGGATGAGGTGTGGACAGGTGGGAATGGAGGGTGTATACACATACATATGCAAAGTATGCGACCAGGCATTCCTTTCCCTTTGGAGGAAACAGTTAATTCGCTGAAGTTGAGCACACGTGATGAGATTCTCCTCCAGTTTCAAATGCTGGAGCAAATATGAAGATAAGGGAGCGGAGGCAGCCACAGCACGGGACAGAGATCATTTTCTATGAGCCTCTTTCTAAAACTGCCTGGGCCCTGTGAAATTCTGCACCCAGCATTTCTCTCCTGAGAGGCTCACATTGCTCCAGCTCTCCAGTGCCAAAAGGTTCGGTCTCGGGTCTGGACTTGGGTTCAACACTGGCTGGAAAGATCATAGGCCCTTCGCTGGATGGAACAGAATGCTCTGAGCTGAGCAACCTGAGGAGCAGAGGATGAGAGTGTCAGATGGGCCATGGCGCATGTGCGTCAGGAAGACCTCCTAAATGACTCAGTAGATAACAGTGAGGCCCGGGGCTCTGTGGCAACAAGCATACCCATTGCCCACAGCAATCCAGCTGACATGCCATGCAGGGGAGCTGGCCAGGCAAGGTCCACCTTGCTCAAGGGGTTGCCCATTTCTCCTGACTTGAGACCATTTCAGAAGCCTGGTGCCACTGCACCTCTTAGTTACTGCCCTGCCTTGGATTTGGGTGGCCAATGAATGATCGTTTTTGCTTAAGTCATTTTGTGCTGGATTGCAGTCACTTACCCTGGCTGTCTTTCACAAGAGTGCTGGTGTGTAGACAGTGTGTAGAGTATTATCATGTGACGCTGTGATGTGCACACATGCATCCTGTCCACACTCCAGCCTGAAGTGCTTAGCTACCCAGGTGCTTCCTAGGCACCTTGAGAAGCAAACGGCCATGAGAAAGCACCATGTTCCTGACAGGCTGTTCAACCACCCAGCAATGCGCAGTATTTTCTTTCATAAACACACTCATGAAATAGTGTCATCCATCATTCATCTAGCTTGCCTCTTCCTGGTACTCACAGTGCCTTTTTAAGGCAAGTAATATTTGGCAGCTTTAACAATGAAAAGAAAAAAGGTTGGCTGCCATAGTGAAAAAATATAAATGTGTTCACGGGCTTAGTTATAATGTGTTCACAAGAAAACTCAGGGGTCCCCAGTCATCTGAGTCACTCTTTTTTCTCCCATAAGTTCATAATACTTGGAAAACAAAATTTAAGAGAAATCTACTTCTTTGGATAAGCCATTCAAATATGAATTGTATCACCTGGAAAAGAAGCCAAACCTCATTCCAGATTTCATTCTGGAGGGCACAGTGTTTCGGACAGAACGCTCACTTCCCTTGAGGATACCCCATATTTTGAAAGAGTTTTAAAAAACAACGAAGAAACTCTGCTCCCAATGCATTCAAATTGATATGACATTCCACTTCCTCTTGCATCAGATTCAGGCAGAGAATGATGTCATGGGTACTTTATAAGTCACTGACAGCAACAGCGTAAGAAAAGAGTTGACAAGAAGTCAGAAGGGAAGAAAGGGAACTTTAACAGGTAAAGTGGAGACACCTGGCAAACACGACCTCTGTCAACATCTACAGTGATAAGTCACGCTCACAGCATGTACCCTTGACATGATGTGATGAGAAGGCTTATCACCTTGGGGTCTTCCCCTCTCAAGCCCTTGACCACAGTCTACTTGTGAGAATAACATCAGATCAATCTCAAATGAGGGACACTCTATCTCCTCCAAATTGTCAAGGTCATCAGAACCAAAGAAAGTCTGAGAAACTCAGAGCCAAAAGGAGCCTAGGGAGACATGATGTCTAAATGTGATGGGTGACTTGGGTGGGATACTGGACCAGAAAAAGGACATTAGGGAAAAACTAAGCAAATCTGCCAAACCGGTTTGGCTCAGTGGATAGAGCGTCGACCTGCGGACTCAAGGGTCCCAGGTTCGATTCCGGTCAAGGGCATGTACCTTGGTTGCGGGCACATCCCCAGTGGGAGATGTGCAGGAGGCGGCTGATTGATGTTTCTCCCTCATCGATGTTTCTAACTCTCTATCTCTCTTCCTTCCGCTCTGTAAAAAATCAATAAAATATATTTTTTTTAAAAAAAACTAAGCAGCCGAAACCGGTTTGGCTCAGTGGATAGAGTGTCGGCCTGCGGACTGAAAGGTCCCAGGTTCGATTCCGGTTAAAGGCATGTACTTGGGTTGTGGGCACATCCCCGGTGGGAGATGTGCAGGAGGCGGCTGATCGATGTTTCTCTCTCATCGATGTTTCTATCTCTCTCCCTTCCTCTCTGTAAAAAAATGTTTCTATCTCTCTCCCTTCCTCTCTGTAAAAAATCAATAAAATATATTTAAAAAATAAAAAAATAAAAAAAATAAAAATAAAAAAACTAAGCAAATCTATATAAAGTATGGACTTCAGTAAATAACAAGGAATCAATAGTGATTCATTAATCATAACTAGACAATATTAACATGTTAACAGGAGAAACTGGGTGTGCAATATATGGAAACTCTCTGTACTTTATTCTCAATTTTTCTGGAAATTTAAAACTATTCTAGAATTTAAAGTTGGACTTAGGGTGGCCCCTCGCCTAAGCTGGCCCAATCGGACTCTCTCTCCTGAGAACTGGAGGGGAGCACAGGCTCCCAGTGACTCTGAGAGGCTGGGGAACTGCCTGCAGTAGCCTTGTCCTGCACTGAGCAGAGAAAAGGAAGCATCCAATGTAGAGAGACCTAAGTCAACCCGCAGCCAGCCAGCCGTCATGCAGAGGGGCTTCCATGCTGATTCTGAGTGGATTCCAGTTTCCCTGTCACACACTCACAAAGTCAGGCCTCACTGCTTGCTCTGCACTCCCGTCCCCAACCCCATCCTTCATTCTTTAAAAAATATTTTTTTTCTTAAGCTAGTTTGAGAGGGTGTCTGTTATTTGCCACCAACGTATCCCTAACTAAGCCTGTGTTCATTGTTTAATGTTTGGGAAGGGCTGGAAACCATAAAGGTAAGTATAAGCATTTGCTTGCATCTATGGACATCTAACACCTGTGTAGTTTTTGTGACCAACAGCAGTGTCATTTTTGCCTGCTCAATATTCATTTGCTTGCAGTTTCTACAGTGACAGGATGTGAGCCTAAAGTTGGTGGTGGCATTGCACCCGCTGAAGGGGATAATTCACCTGAGAACGAAGTCAAGAGGGGAAACCAAAATTGAGAACTACAGAAAGATTGCTGATGGCACCTTTGAGCTCCGGGTCCAGCTGAAGCCACAGGCCTTTTCAACAATATGAGCCAATAAGTTCCCTCTTTACCTGAGGCAGTTCGCATAGGGTTTCTGTTCACCTGCAACAGAGTAAATTTCGGGAAGCTTCTTGGGCCAGAAACTTGTGCTCAAGAATCATAAAACAAGCCCACTGCATGGGAGAGCATATTTGCCAATGTTACATCCAATAAGGGTTTAATCTCCATAATTTACAGGGAACTCATACAACTGAACAAAAGGAAGATAAACAATCCACTCAAAAAATGGACAGAGGACCTAAATAGACACTTTTCAGAAGTGGACATACAGAAGGCCAGGAGACATGCTCAAAGCCACTAATATCCGAGAAATGCAAATCAAAACAACAATGAGGTACCATCTCACACCTGTCAGAATGGCTACCATGAACAAACGACAAGTGCTGGCGAGGATGTGGAGAAAAGGGAACCCTTGTGCACTGCTGGTGGGAATGCAGACTGGTGCAGCCACTGTGGAAAACAGTATGGAGTTTCCTCAAAAAATTAAAAATGGACCCCCAGTGGGGAGCGGGCAGTCTCAGACTTAGTGAGGCAGTGGCGGCCATGTGCACCATGGACTCAGCCCCCCAGGGCTATGAGCTCAACAGTGACCTGCGGTTGGACTTGCCCAGTGCCCCGGACGCCCCACCAACACGCTGGGGCAGGAACAGGCCCATCAAAGTGAACCATTACACCAACAAGAAGAGTACCGCAGAGAGCATGCTGGACATCACCCTGCTGATGGCCAACACCTTGCAGCCGAAGGCAGTCATCCACCAGGGCCCCGGCTTTGGCTTCTTTGTGCCCCTGGTGGTGCTCATCTCCACCTTCCTGGTGCTGCAGATCTGCGTGGGCGTGCTGCTCATCTTCCTGGTCAGGTACAACCTCAACAACCCAGCCAAGCACACCAAGTTGACTTCCTCAACAGCCTGGCCACCAGCCTCTTCTTCATCATCGTCCTGGTCAACATCTTCATCACGGCCTTCGGCGTCCAGAAGCCTGTGGTGGACCTGGTGCCCTGGCAGTGGGCTCTGATGCCCAGCCTGTGCCGGCCACAGCCACACAAACCCCAGGAGCTGCCTCGACCTTGGGCCACCTGCCTGTGCACTGCACCCCTGAGAACGCCAGAGCCAGGACTGGACGGGAGGATACTCGCCAGTGTGAGTCCTGCTCCATCCGTGGCTCCTCCCCCTGAAGCAGGGGCAGCGAGGCCCAGAGAACTAGACCCCCAAGGAGGGCCATGGCTGGCACAGACAGGCAGCAGACCTGAGGAGGGCAGGGAGGGGCCAGGGCCAGCCTTAGTCTTGGGGTATTTCCAGAAGGACAAGGAGATGCCCCCCTCAGCTAAGCACCTCTGGAGGGCCTGGGGCCCCTGCCCTTCCTACCCTAGACATTGGACCAGCAGCTCCCCCCGTGGCTCTGCCATGACCGTGGGCCATGTGCCCACCTTCCACCAGCCCCACTTTTCTAAGCATGAATGACCAATAAAATGAATGCTCCTTCCAGCACAGCCTCCCTCCCGGGCCTGGCCCTGTTCACACCTCAGGCGCCTTCTCCAAGGCTGGGAGCTTGGGCTGCTCCTTGGCACCTGGCATCTCCAGTCAGGTCCCAGACCAGGGTCTTGGGTCTCCAGTGCCCCAGTGTCTTATTTTTATAGAAGAATGGGTTAAAGAGCTCCCACAGCCCAGGCCCCGAGGCCATGGCCCAGGGTCACACTGCAGGTCATCGTCTGCTCTCTTGGGAGCCTCCCTGCACACACTGTGCTGACTGTCAACAGATCACTGGAGCTGGCCAGTGACTCGGTTGGTCAGAGTGCAGTCCCGATACACCAAGGTTGCAGCTGGATTCTGGTCAGGGCACAGACCCAGGTTGCAGATTTAATCCCCAGTGGGGCCAGTATGGGAGGCAATCAATTGATGGTTCTCTCTCTCTTTCTCTCTCCCTTCCTCTCTCTAAAATCAATAAACATATATCCTCTGGTGAGGATTGAAAAAAAAATTTAAAAAGAAACTCCCATTTGACCCAGTAATCCCACTTCCAGGAATATATCCCAAGAAATCAGAAATACCAATCAGAAAGAATATATGCACCCCTATGTTCATAGCAACACAATTCACCATAGCTAAGATTTGGAAACAGCCTAAGTGCCCATCAGCAAATGAGTGGATTAAAAACTGTGGTACATCTATACAATGGAATACAATGCTGCTCTAAAAAAGAAAGAGTTCTTACCATTTGCAACAACATGCGTGGACCTGGAGAGCATTATGCTAAGTGAAATAAACCAGTTGGAGAAAGATAACTATCACACGATCTCACTCATTTGTGGAATATAATGAACAACATAAACTGATGAACAAAAACAGATCCAGAGACACAGAAGCACCGAACAGACTGTAAAACCTCAGAGGGAAGGCAGGGGAGGGTGAGGGGAGTAAGAGATCAACCAAAGGACTTGTACCCATACATATGAGCATGACCAATGGACACAGACACTAGGGAGGTGGGAGCATGGGCTGGGAGACAGGAGCGGGCGGGGAGAGGTCAATGGGGGGAAAAGGAGACATATGTAAAACTTTCAACAATAAAGAATTTTTTTTAAAAAAAAGAACCATAAAACAGTGCTCCTTTTCAATACCAAGCCCAGAAAAAAGAATTTCCAGTGCTGGCTAGAAACCTCTGGCACCTGCCTCCTTTTTTCAACTTATCTGAGGAAAAAGCACACTCAGAGTGCACACTTGCAATCCGAAGATTAAGAGAGGAGCCAAGAGGAGAGATGAGGGGGAAGATAGACGTGTTCTCTGCATAAGAACAGGGACATTATTGGCACCAGAAAGGTTGGGCCAAAAAGGAGGGCTGAGTGGACAGAGGCTTAATCGCCCGAGGTGTCAAGAGCGGGTGAGAAGGCTGGGCAGGCAGACCTGCAGCCCACAGGTGGGCACCAGGGTGGGGTCTGGAGCTGGACCCGCCTGCGCGGAACTCATTTGCTTTTGGCAGCTGTAACTTCCTGTTTTCAAAGGGCAGAAGGCGTTGTTAAGAGAAGCCTCTCCCTGCTTACTGGACAGCAACTATTTCTCACAAAACACAATTTTTGCTGCATTCAGTGGAGATGAATCAGACGCCAACGGAACCAATTTATTTTATACAAAACAGAGTTCTGTGATGATGGGAAGGTCCTCGCAAGGCCAGTGGGTTTTACTGAGAGCAGAAGAATAAATGAATCATTCCAAGATGTTAGACAAAACCCAACACACCCAGCTTCCCCCGGAGAGACGGCACTGGTGCTTTGCCCTCGGGAAGAGCGGCAGGCGGGATGCAGGCCCACCGCTCCTCAGGGACGCATCCTTTCAATAAGGTCTTAGCAACACTTTATCTCTTCGTCTTCAAGGCCAGTTTCGGTGTTGGGAATGCCACTCCACCAGAAGCAGAGCTTCCGGTCCTTCCCCTACCTCATCTCCAATACGAGCAATGGTGCTCTTGCAAGAAAACCTTGTTTCTGAAATTTCCAGCCTGCTCTCCGTGCTGGCTTTGGCATGGTCCGTGGGTATCATCAGCTTCAAGCCATGGCCCCGTTTCAGTCCGTGAGAATGATAGGAAGAAACCATCTGAATGTTTGCTCAAAGCCCCAGCTCGGTCCAGGGGATTCGCAATTCTCTTGTGTGTCCGGCAACCTGCTGGGGCCACCTGAAGAGGGTCTCCCAACCCCCCACGCAGGAGAGTCCTGGGTGAGAGCATCCTGACCATGAATGAGAATTCAGGCACGATGACCTTGACACAGGTGAAGAAATGGGATGAGAGGGAAGCAGATGGCATTCAGGTCGTCCCAGGTGGTCCTCTACGCAGTGGTTCTCAACCGATGATTCCACCCCCAGTGGGTAGAGGGCAGATGCTGCTGAACATCCCACAGTGAGGAAGTATTTGCCCAAAATGTCATTAGTGCCGGGACCTTAGAGAAGAGGGCTCTGAAGGAACCGAGCAGAGCCCAGCGCCAGCCAACCCGCACCTGCAGGTGACCCTGTCCTCGGTCCTAGAAGAATGCCGAGTGGGGTCTCTGTGGTTCCACAACCTCCTAACCAGCCGAAGCGGGGACCCTCAGCCAGGCTTCGGCAGATTGGGCCACAGGAAGTCTGGGTGAGGGAAGATGCCTCACTCAGTTCACAACCATCCAAATGGCACACAAGCAAAGGCTTTACAGCTTCTATGTCACATCATCAAACGTGAAGGACAGCTTACTGTCCCCAAAAGCTCTCTACGAAATCACCCACCAGTCTTCCTTCCCACCCCACTCCTGGAGCCCCCTTTACCTCCGAAGGAGGCACCACCGGAAGTGAATCAATGGGCTGGCCTGCTGGGCGGGCTGGTGGCACCCGCTGCCTGCCTGTGCCCACACTGCCTCTTTGTGTCTCAGCGAGTTCCCCACTTCCCCTCCTGCAGATGGTTAGCTGCTTCGATTGTTTCCCTCACAGGACCGTCCAAACCACAGAGCTTGGCACCACCTTCAAACCTCCCATTTGCCAGCGTCTGTTTATCAGATCCAAGGAGTGCTCTCGGGGGCTGATGGGCTGACAGGAGCCGTTTCCAGCCCAGAGGGAAGTCCAACTGTTATATAAGGCCGCGCGGAGCCCCTTTCATTCTCCCAGACCTGACCCAGAGGTAAAGTGCTTTTGGAAACAGCAAGGTGACTGGCAAGGTGGCTGGCTCAGGGAATGACAGTCACTTCTGCCCCGGCCTTCCTGCTCCTGGCTCCAGGCGGAGGGTCCCGGTGGGCGGGAGTGGAGGGGAGAGGCAGGAAGGGATCTTCAGATTAACTCTGACTGGATCACACACAGTAGCCTGAGTGATCTCTTCAGAACGTAATCTGGCCATGGCAGGGGGCCTGCTAAAGCCCATCACCAGCAACGCCGCACACAGTGTTTCTCAATCAGATCCCCGGGACCTCCCCTCCCTGCATCTCATCTCCCACCTCCCCACCTCGCTCACGAGGCACAGGTCACACAAGCTTGTGTGGCCCTCCACACTCATCCCTCCCTCAGTGCTTGAGCCCATGCTGGGCCCTCTGCCTGGAACACTGTTCCCTCCCTGTGCTTTGCAGCTTTACTCAGCGAAGCCATCCCCGGCCCCATGACTAAGGGGCCACCTCTTGCCTCCCCTTCCCAACACTCACAGAAGAAGCACTCAATCAATATTTCTGAATTCCTCCCAAAGTTTCCTGCATTGCAGAGTCCCCTACAGGCAAATAATCCCAAATAAAGGTGTTTGCTCTTTCTAGGCCAAGCCCTGGCTCCCCCTTTAGCTTATGATCTGTCTTCCTTGTTTAAGAGTCATATGGAAAGGAGACATATGTACTACTCTTTGTAATATTTTAAGCAATAAAACAAAATTAAAAAAATAAAAAGAGTCCTGTGGGCAGACAGTGAGCTTCTAGAAGAAGACCTGGAAGCAAGAATTTGAATGCAGGGCACCTTGAACCAGCTACCACCCGAGTGACCAAACTTAATGAAGCTGGGACATTGGGAGTTGTCCCAGGCAGGTTCAGGCACCAGTCCTGTCTGTAGCAGAGGACTAGTCCCGACGGGGGGGTGGGGGGGGAGGGAGGGCCTTGATCCCCAGCACTTCAGCCTCCCTGCCCAAGTATGCCAAATCTGACACAAAAAGGCCTTGGACAAAGACATGCCACCCTGGCAGGTGGGAGCCGGTTGGCTGGTGTGTGCTGGCATGGGCAGGGCGAGGGGACGTGCCCTTGTGGGCCACCCCAGCAGACCTTCACCTCCCTTCATGTCCAAAGCACAAAGAGTCAGTGTCCCTCAGTCACTGCTGACGGTAACTTCCTCACCTGCCCTCTGGTCCCATCCTGCACTAGCTACCAGCACATCCCCTTCCCTGTCTTGGAGCAGTGGGGCGGGGTCACACCATCCTCTGGCCGGCCAGGAGGTAAAGGCTGAGGATCCTTACCTGCTGTCTTATGTGCTAATGGCCCCATCAAACACCCCTGGTGATACAAGGCTTCTGTTGTCCATGTCCTTGCTAACAACCTAATGCCTCCAGCTATACCATTTCTGAAAATGCAAGCATTTTGCTCATTTAAACTTAGTGGCATAACCATGAGGATTTTCTTTGTTTCCAGGCACCTTTTGTGATCTTCCTTCCCATGTATCCGATAGTAAACATCAGAAACGAATGAAGGGCTAGATGAGTGAATGGCACTGTCATTGGTTTCCTGACTCCGGCCCAGTGGTTTTGCCAATGTTTACAAAAACAAGCAAGTAGAGATGGTTCTATGGGAGGAGGGGCAACTCCAGACCTGGCCCCTTCAGGCCACTCAACCACACCCAAAAGAAAGCAAAAATCCTCTTCCTGTTGGAAAAGACCAGAACCCACCCAAGCCCACCCTAGAACAGTCTGTGCACTTACCAGAGTCAAATATCACGGGTCCAGACACGACGCTGGGTCCCACGTCCTTCCAAAGGCAGGACTCTCCCAG